TTAGGTGAGGCACCGGGTGCTTTTCTCGCTCCTAGGTTCGGGGCGTGAATAAGAATCACTTCATCGACGACAAACATTTCTTTTGCGGCTGGTTGCTCCCCGTAGACAGTTTTGATTCCCTATGATGTTGGGAATTTTAGAACCTGGTGAAGGGTCGAGGGCAATGCTCTCATGTTGTGGATCCATGGCCTCCCGAATAGGGCGTTATATCTCATATCCCCCTCGATTACGTGGAACTTCATTTCTTGAATAATCCCGGCCACATTTACTGGCAAGATTATCTCGCCCTTAGTAGTTTTAGATGCCATATTAAATCCGTTCAGTACCAGGGTAGCTGGTACGACCTGGTCATGTAGACCGAGTTGCTCTACGACCCTTGATCTAATGATGTTGGCCGAACTACCTGCATCGATTAACACACGCTTAACTTGAATTTTATTCATAAGTATAGATATTACCAGTGCGTCATTATGGGGTTGCATGATTCCTTCCGCGTCTTCGTCACTAAAGGACAAGGTTCCTTTAGGTGTGTAATCCTGAGTCTGAGATCACTTCTCTCTTACAATAGACATCGTAGTGCATTTAAGCACCGGTCCTTGGGGGACATCGATCCCTCCGATGATCATGTGGATGATGTGTTGTGGCTCTTCTTGCTCGTTTTGTCTATTGAAATCTCTATTTTTGAAATGGTTTTTGGCCCGGTCACTTAAAAATTCTCGAAGGTGCCCTTCATTGAATAAACATGCTACCTCCTCTCTCAACTGACTGCAGTCTTCGGTTCTGTGGCCACGAGTTCCATGATATTTGCACATTTGATTGGGATTTCTCTAGGCTCGATCGGACTGTAAAGGTCAAGGCCACTTAGTATCTTTGACGCGTCCGATAGCCGACACGATGGCGGATGCATCGATGTTGAAGTTATATTCTGATAACCGTGGTGCTTCCTTAGGTCCGATATGCCTATCGAACCCATTCTTGTTCATCAGCCCCTGAGACCCTTGGCCTCGATCACTTCCCCTTTCGCCTCATACGGAGTTGCATGTAGGTTCGCTACCCATACGATCTCTGTTATACGGCCGATATCGGTCCTTGTTCGACCTTGGTTCTCAGTCGATGTCCCTTTTAATAACGGACCCAGAACCCAGTTGGTTATCTTTAACTCTGATATTCGATTAATATCGATTGTGCACATCGGCCCAAGTAACAGCCGAGTACTCGACCAAACTTCTACTTCAACTATCGTGAAGCCATCGAGCTTAGTTCATTCAGTCCTTGAGTGAAAGCTTGTACAGCCCAATCGTCCGTGACCGGTGTTTGATCCATTCGTTCCATTTGGAAACGAGATACGAACTCTCTTAGCATCTCGTTATCTTTTTTGCTTTACCTTGAAAAGGTCCGACTTCCTGGTCTCAACCTTTATGGCTCCGGCGTGTGCTTTTACGAAAGAATCTGCAAGCATAGCAAAAGAATCGATAGAGTTAGGCGGTAAATTATGATACCATATCATTGCGCCCTTTGACAGGGTTTCCCCGAACTTCTTCAATAGTATGAATTTAATCTCGTCATCTTCTAGATCATTCCCTTTAATGGCACATGTGTACGAGGTGACATATTCGTTGGGGTCGGTCGTTCCATTATATTTAGGAATTTTGGGCATGAGAAATTTCTTGGGGATCGGTTTAGGAGCCGCGCTTAGGGGGAAAGGCTTTTGTACGAATTTTTTGGAATCCAAGCCCTTCAATACCGGTGGAGCCCCCGGGATCTGATCAACCCTGGAGTTATAAGTTTCTAATTTTTTTGTCGTTTGCTTCAATCCTCTTTTCTCCTGACTCAATTCATTTTGTCAGTTCCTCTAACATCTTAATAATTTCGGGATTAGTCTCCGATTCTTGTTCATTTGATCTTACTATAGCTGGCCCCGTTTCTTGGGTGACTTCTCGGGGTGGACCGGTCTTGGCCCTGCTCGGTGCCTAGGTTTGGCTCTGCAACTGAGCTATTACTACCTGTTGAGCTTGCAACATTTCAAAAATCATACACAGGCTAATCCCGTCTTCTCCAACATTTTGGGTATTTTGAACTGCAGGTCGAGTTCCACCATGAATGCTGTTTTCGGGGTCGGAACGTTGCTTCGCCTCGATGGCCACATGTGAATTAACGTCGATCGGATCTGCGACCCGAGTTCCAACGGGATCAACGAGCGGCCTTTCATCCCCGGTCGTCAGGTTGTTGTTCTCATCTTGAAGGCCAGCTTCGTTGTCAATAGGTAGGCCCATTAATTGAGAGTTCGTCGTTTTTAACCTGAAATCAAAGACACTTCAAAGAGCAAGTATAAAATGGTGTGTTTTGCAGAGATTCGTACCAAATAACCACTGTTATCCATCCCACGGTGGACGTCAAACTATTTTACCCGAAAAATGGATAAAATTGAATTTATACGTAGTTCTAAGGATACGTGGTATAACTTGGTACAAAATGGAAAAAATAAGTAGAAATATATCAAATATTGACTGTAAAAAAGGAATGAAATACAAATCCAAATTGATTAGAGAATGATTTATAAATGAACAAGATGAACCATTGTAAAAAGCCCCCCAAAAGGATAATATTTACTATATGTGTGTAAATCTCAATAATCTCTGAAATGTGAGAGTGTATTGATGTCTGAATGTTCAATGTGTGATCCCCTTACAGAAATGATAGCCATTCTTAATATAGTAGAGAAATTCTACTTTGGATATTATTAAAAATACATAGTGGGGATCCTATGATAGATTAGTTAAATAGCTTTTCCTTAATTCTCGCCGAGATTCTCTCCCCTAGTGCGGCTACAACGGCTTTTTATCTCTTAGCTCGATCTTGGTCGGTCTTGGTATTGGTCAATCTCTGGATCTCGAGCTTGATAATACCACTTCACATCATAGTTTGATATTGACTCGAGCTCGGTATTGATCGGTCTGGGTCTTGAGCTCGATAACCCGGCTTCACATCATATTTTGATATTAAAACGACGACCCTCGGTCCATTATGTTCTAATCTTGACTGATTATACGAAGGATAAATTATTTTACCCGAAAAACGGATAGAGTTGAATTTATACGTAGTTCTAAGGATACGTGGTATAACTTGGTACAAAATAAAAAAAATAAATAGAAATATATCAAATTTTGACTGTAAAAAGGGAATGAAATACAAACTCAATTGAGTAGAGAATGATTTAAAAATGAACAAGATGAACCAGTGTAAAAAGCCCCCAAAAAGGTTAATATTTACTATATGTGTGTAAATCTCAATAATCTCTGAAATGTGAAAGTATATTGATGTCAGAATGTTCAATGTGTGATCCCCTTATAGAAATGATAGCCACTCTTAATATAGCAGAGGAATCCTACTTTGGATATTATTAAAAATACATAGTGGGGATCCCATGATAGATTAGTTAAATAACTTTTCCTTAATTCCGGCTGAGATTCTCTCCCTGGTGCGGCTTCAACGACTTTTTGTCTCTTAGCTCGATCTTGGTCGGTCTTGGTATTGGTCGGTCTCTGGATCTCGAGCTTGATAATACTACTTCACATCATAGTTCGGTATTGACTCGAGCTCGATATTGACTCGAGCTCGGTATTGATCGGTCTGGGTCTTGAGCTCGATAACCCGCTTCACATCATATCTTGATATTATAATGACGACCCTCGGTCCATTATGTTCTAATCTTGATTGATTACACGAAGGCCAAACTCGGTTTTGACCGTATACATAGTTAATTCCGTACAAATTTGAACGGATTGGACTGAGTATACATTCATTGGCATGTCATTGTGAGCATTACCCATAAAAGAAACTTACCAAAACCATAGAAAAATAACCTTTTTCGATTTGGTTTGTTTGAAATTTTCATGATAAATAGAAGAGAAAGTTGTTCTTAGCTTGGTTGTTAATTAAATTATAAATGAATAAACAAACAAATAAAAAAAATATTTTCAGTTGAGACGAATTAGGCTATGATTCATGTTCGTGTTAAAGTGTGTGACCATCTCATTTAAATACTTAAGCTCTTAGAGAGAGCACGCTTTATTTACTTAATTGTTTCTTTAACGCGCTCCTTCACGTGCATGCTTCATTCATTTTTTTATTGGCCAAGCACGTGAAAATTTATTTTTTTAAATGGTGACGGTGAGACTCGAACTCAGAACCTCTGCCTGCTCTGATATCATGTTAAAATATGTGATCATCTCATCTGAAAAAACTTAAACTCTTAGAGAGAGCACACTTTATTTATTTTATTGTATCTTCAACAGTTTGTCCTCGTAAGGTCAGAATTCAATACATTATCAGGAGCTCAAATTGTAGAGTCTCTTGTTTAGTTTTAAGATTATTTATCTCCCATTTGATAATTAAGAAAACTAAGCATATGCTTATCAGAAACAAGCGTATCATTGACCATTTGGTTAAACTAATTAAAGAAATTGTTTATGTTATCTTTACTTAAATAAACTGACCCCAAAAAGTCATTAGAGGCTACCTTGTCACTTTCAACGACTCGTGACTGAGAATAACTAAAAGGTGGAAAGTGTTATATGTCGTTGAATTTAAATATCATGAGAAATCTATAGTACAGTATAAGAATAAAAGTATCCGAAAAAACATTATTTCCCTTCCTTTTATCCTTTAATAATTGGACCGGGCTGCTTGACCAATTTATGGGCGAAGCGCAAATCAATTTTATGAGTTCAATATTTTATGATAGTAGCATCACATATTAATAACTAAATTCTGAATTATTACTTTACATATATTTATTGAAATTTTTTAATACAAATACAAAGTTTAGTCAAAAATTTCTGAGTTTGACGAACCCGTACTTCACTTTTTAACTCCGCCCCCAAAATTGATACTCCACCATAAATACTCGACTCACCTCTCATTTGGCTATAAAACAAGTAGTTCCATGCATATGCTATACTCAGCATATATATATACTACCATCTAAAAGAGGAGAAACACTAGAATAGTCTGAATCTCCTTTGTTTTTCTTTCTTTCTTGATTTTCTCCATCAGTCATTGATTTATCATAAACAAATATACTAGCATTTCTTAAGAACTTTCTCACAATTTACGTACGTTGTATGATTGGTATGAGAATATCAACAGTAATGTGCAACCAAACATGGCCATCCTTACGTATTAGCAATGTTGGCCTCGATAATATGCCATTTCACCGTCAACCACCGAAAATGGACAAGCTTGTGGTGGTGATGGGAGCCACCGGTGCCGGAAAATCAAGACTCTCCGTCGACTTAGCCACTCATTTCGGGGGAGAAATTGTCAACTCCGACAAAATACAAGTGTACAAAGGGCTTGATGTAGCAACGAACAAAATTACCGAAGAAGAACGTTGTGGAATACCTCATCATCTATTAGGTGCTATTGATCCTCACAAGGAGTTCGAAGCCAAGAACTTCTGTGACATGGCTTCACTTGCTATTAACTCCATTACTTGCCGTGGGAAGCTTCCGATCATCGTCGGAGGATCGAATTCGTTCATTGAGGCACTCTTCTACGATAAAACCTACGAAGTATATACGAGGTACTATTGTAATGTGTGATTATCTCATTAAGTATTAGAGATAGTGAGAACTAATAGTTTTTTTTTACCCTTCCAAAAATAATAGCCGGCAAAACGTATAATTTTTTTTATATATGAGTATTATATACATATACATATAATACACATATTTTATATGCTTTTTGGTTAGCGACTGAAATTAATTTTGTCCGACCAGTCAATGTGAATGTACATTTTCAGAGAGCATTTTTACAAAGAGCCGTTTTTGAGACCAGACTTTAAATTATGTCCCCCATTAGTCTAGTGGGTTAAATTTGTTTGAAAATAATTCATCCAGCTATTTCAAGGCAAATCCCACTGGACTAACGGAAATTTAAAGACTGAAGGCTATATGGTGCAAATAATCCCTTTTATTATTTTTTATTTTGCTCAGAAAGAACACTTGTGTTTTTAACAGGTACAACTTTTGTTTTCTCTGGGTGGACGTGTCCATGCACGTACTAAATTCTTTTTTGACCAAACGAGTGGACAAAATGGTCGAGAAAGGACTTGTCAACGAGGTAAGAAACATGTTCAATCCTAAAAATGCAGATTACTCCAAAGGCATTCGAAAAGCAATTGGTGTCCCAGAATTCGATCGTTATTTTCGGGCTGAATTATCAAATTCCGTTGACGAGGAAACCAGAATTAAGCTACTTGAGGAAGCCATTAATGAAGTAAAAATCAACAACTGTAAATTAGCAAGCCAACAGTTAGAGAAAATAAAGAGGTTGATAAATGTTAAGGGATGGAATGTACATCGACTGGATGCTACAGAAGTGTATAAAAAACGTGGAAATGAGGAGGAAGAAATGGTGGAGGAATTGTGGAAGAATTTGGTTGTGGGACAAAGCAAAAGGATTATGGATAGATTTTTATGCGAAAACTATAGGAGTTCAATGGATTGTAGTAATGATGGGACAGCCATTAACATAGCTATATCGGCTATGGCAGCGGCATCTTACTACTAAAGAGGCGAATACATGAATAAGCCAAATGGATTCAATATCGGTTATACATATACATAAAAAATAATATGACTTTTTATATATAATATAATTTTTCGGCGAATAAAATTCGAATGAAACCTTATGCGTCTAGCTAGCTAACTCCTCCCTTGGCCATAGATAAAAAGAGATAAGCAAGTTGTGCATTAATTTTGTACCCCACTCGGCAGTTTTGGGAGATAATCATGATATTTCGTTGATTAATAAAGTGTGTAAGATTGGATATCAAAAGTTAATTTTGTTTTGATTATTTTATAGAAATGTATCTTTTTTTAAAAATGAAATAAAACGGAAAGGTGACAAAATGAACTAGAGGGAGTATATAATGGTTTTAGCCTTTGGAATAATCAGAGTGCTAGTTGTCTCTAGTAAATGAGGTTGAATATAATTTAGATTATCATAGAACCTCTAATTGTTGGTACTTCGAAGAACTTTCAAGCTAATTAACATGCACCCGCCCTGCATAAATATTGTGGCCAAGAGAAACGTAATGGCAAAGTTAATTACATACAAATTAAGAGTTTGAATCATATATAATTACAGTGTAAAAAATAATTTAATAATAATTGATTATTAACCTAAAATAAATGGTGTAGCAGTAATTAGTAACCAGGTTAAACTAAATTGATGGTGTAAAGATACTTTTATACTATTAATATAGTTTAATTTGTGATAGTAGGCCAGTTACCTAATTTCTACCATACTATCAATTAATATTTATTATAGAAATTTACCTGTAAGTATTTCTAGATGGCCAGATTGTAAATATATTTTTTGTATTGAGGGTGCATAGAACTTAATGAACTCTTAAACCATATTAGTATATTAGTCAAATAAAATTGGGTGAAAATCATTTTGATCCCCCAACTTTATCTTAAAAATCAAACTCCTCCTCCAACATTAAACAATAGACATTTTGCTCATTCTATCATATGCATTTTCTATTTTACCCTTACATTTTTAATTCCTACTCTATGCATATAATTTTATCATTATATTATATACGATATATTTTATCTTTAGCTAAGTGTTTTACCAATTTAAATATATTATTTTAAAAGTTATAATTAAAATAAGAAAATTTAAGTAGAATAGTACTTTTATGAATTTTTAAGAAAATTTATCGTTAGTCTTTTTTATTGTTACTTTAATATTAAGTATATATTTAAGTTTTACTTTTTATTTTATTTTTTATTATTTAGAATAGTACTTTTATTCAAGTTGTTTCTTTGAATTTTTATTTTCATTTACAAAATATTTTCTAAGTTACAATTTAAAGAACAACTAAGGTGTAAATATGTAATCTTTTAGGAATTTATTATAAAATCTACCTCTATTATTAATTATTTTTTTCATATTACTGCATTAACTTTTATTTGATTGATATTAATAAGATATTTTTTCTAGTATTTTATTTGTGCCCATTTCTTTCATTATTAAATTTCAAAAAATTATATGTGATTGATTATCATGTTCACTCTATTAAAAAAACTAAAAATTTCTTTCACTATAGGTAAATTCATAACATAGATTAAGAAATATTTGTGATATTAAGAAAGTATAAAATAAATATTGACATAGGCTGATAAGATCAAGGATAAAATAGGTATTTTAGAAATATAATTGAATTTGAACAAGCAGAATGTCTATTATTTAATATTGAAAGAGAAGTTTGATTTTTAAAATGATGTTTAGGGATCAAAATAATTTTCACCAAATACAATTAGATTTGACAGAGTAAAAATATTCAATTTCAATCTGATTTTGTAAAGTTTTGCTTACTTGTCAATTTCGTCCAGTCCAGTTAGGAAATTTTTAGTATACATTTTAAATAGAATTTATCAATGGATTTCAATTGTTTTACTATAGAGTTTTAACTTAGCAATTTCCTTTCATGTTGCATAATTGGTGTTCAAATTGAAATTTCCAATCAATAAATTTTGAAGGTATTTGATTCTTCACCATTGACAGCCATTGTCACGACCCAAAATCCATTAAAGGTCGTGATGGCGCCTAAAATCGCCGTCAGGCAAGCCAACGGTGATTGATCACTTAATTACTCATTTTAGTATTTTGAAATCATAATTTTTATTAATTAAATAGTATGAAATAAAACTTACAGGGTAAAGGATAATATTTACACGATCTACAATAATGAATAACCCGTAGGAACCCCCAAAACCCGGTGTCACAAGTGCATGATCATCAGCTTTGACATATAATAAAATACAACATCTGTTTAGAATACAAATTAGACAGAAAAATATAAATGACTCAGATGGATACTCTGCAGGCTGCAGATCGTAACATGAAATGCAACTCACGGTAAAGTCCCTGCGATAGCCGCGCCTCGGCGCCCAAAAGACCACTAGACATATATGTACCTGCACAAAAAGTACAGCAAATGTAGCATGAGTACGTACATCAATGCATAACCAGTAAGTATCTAGCTTAACCCCAGAGAAGTAGTGACGGGAGGAGGGGGGGAGGGAGGAGGAGGTCGATATCAATACTTGCTAGTGGTCCAATAAGACAGATATAGTAGAAGTAAGCAGGTGTGAGTCAGAGTAAATGAGCANATATATATATAATGGACCTTACCAAATAGGTCATCACAGTTCAATTAGGAAAAAACTCATAGATATGCTGGTTTCTTGCCAATTATTATGCACGATTTCATAAGAGTATTTTATAGAAATGCCGAGGCGTACGGCTCGATCCATCATAATATTTTTCGAACCATAGATACATCTATTTTATGCCGAGGCGAACAGTCCGCTCCCATGAGAGTGTGGTACATAATCCTGCCGAGGCGTACGACCCAATCCATCATAATGTGCACACTGCCGAGAGTCGAACGATACGAACCATAGATGTATTTATCATGCCGAGGCGAACGGCCCAATCCCATTAGAATAAGAAGCTTTGATGGGTCCTTGTCCCAATAGATGTGTGAGTTATAAATTTTTGGGAAACCTTTCGGTGAGAATGAATAGCGCAGGAGAAATTCGTAAGAAAAGTACAATTATTTTCAGATAATAATGAAGCCCATCGAATCTCTACAATAGCAAGCCTATCACTCTACACATGTCTAGTCTCAAGTCGCAAAGTAAAATAAAGGAATTTAATAGGCAAGGGAGAACTCAAATATAAAGTTATATTATGGCGGGAACCTAAGTCTACCCGGGCATAACATGAATCTAGCTACGTACAGACTCTCGTCACCTCGTGCATACGTAGCCCCCCACAACAAGTATCACATAAAAAATACATCACTTAGGGGTAATTTTCCCCTCACAGAGTTAGACAGGAGACTTATCTCGCTCTGAAGTTTCATAACCGGCTCCAAAGCCTCTCTAATACCTCAAACCAATGCCCGTTGATCCAAAACTATTCAAATAATATGCAAACCAATCAAAACATATTCTAATACCCATAATTAATCAATTTAAACAATCGTCAACTCCGCTTGAAAGGTCGATAAAATCAACCCTTGGGCCCACATGCCCGGATTACGAAACTTTTTGAAGATAAACTTTACCCATAACACCACGAATTAAAATATATAGCTTCCAAATTCCATGTCCAATTTCGTGGTCAAAATCCAAAAATATCAAATTCTAGGTTTTCTACCAAAATTTTAAATTTCTACTAATTTCCATATACAAACTATGTATTTAACCTGTAATAAGTGGGAATCACTTACCTTGTATTGCTTGATAAAAATCTCCCCTTGAAGCTCTCCAAAATCGCCCCAACCAAGTGAAAATGAAAGAAAATGGGCCAAATCCCGTTCTTAAAAGAACACACTGCCTAGCGACCTCTCGTACCTGCGGCAACTTGATCGCTTCTGCAGTTCCGCAGATGCGGCAAAAATATAGCTTCTGCGGTCACCCTTCAGCCCCCTACTTTCACATCTGCAGACAAGATTCCGCTTCTGCGGAGTCGCACCTGCGACCAAGGATCCGCTTCTGCGGTCCCGCGGGTGTGGCACAAACCTCGCACCTGCGCCTCCAGCCTGCCTCACTCCCTACCGCTTCTGCGACCACTGGGCCTCTTCTGCGGTCACCTTCGCACGTGTGGCCACTGCCAGTCCCTTCCCATTTCGCTTCTGAGAGCTCGACCTTGCTTCTGCAATGTCGCTTCTGCGAACAAGACATCGCAGAAGCGATCACACCAGCTGCTGCCCAGCTTCAGTATTTCTTAAGTCCAAAAAAAATCAATCCGTTAACCATCCGGAATCCACCCGAGGCCCTCTAAATCTTAACCAAATATACCAATACGTCCCAAAATACAATACGAACTTAGTCAAAGCCTTAAACTACGTTAAGCAATATCAAAATTATGAATCGCGCCTCGAATAAAACTTATAAATTTTTAAATTTCCAAATTCTATATCCTGTGCCGAAACATATCAAATCAAATCCAAAATGACTTCAAATTTCGCACACGAGTCACAAATGACATAACAAAGCTATTCCAATGCTCGAAACCCCGAATGGACATCGATAACACCAAAATCCACTTCAAACCAAGCTTATGAAATTCTTAAACCTTTAAAATGCTAACCTTCTATAATAAGCGCCGAAAGGCTCCCAGGCGATCCGATACTCAACCCGAACATACGCCCAAGTCCGAAATCATCACATGAACCTATTGGAACCTTCAAATCCCGATTCTGAGGTCGTTTACTCAAAAGTCAAATCTTAGCCAATTCTTCCAACTTAAAGCTTCCGAAATTAGAATTTTCTCTCCAGATCGATGCCGAACTTCCCGAAATTGAATTCCGACTACACGTACAAGTTATAATACCTAAAGTAAAGCTATTCAAAGTCCCAAACCGCTGAACGATGTGCTAGAGTTCAAAACGACCGGTCGGGTCGTTACATTCTCCCCCACTTAAATATACGTTCGTCCTCGAACGTGATAAGAACTGCTCCGGAGTTGTCCAAAATCACTGTTTAACATCTCATGCACCTACCCGTGCCACCACAATCTTGTTGAACACATTAGCTCGAGACAGACTGAAGATCCTCCCTTTTATTTAGTACATAAGCCTTAGAACCAAATTCCAACCTCCGAATTTCTCTACAAGACCTGATTCTAACAGACGAACACCGTATCAATCACTACACACTGTACCAAAACACAATGGTATACATTTGATGA